AAATGGTGGTGTAAACTTGGTCAACATGGTGTTGATGGAAATACCAGTAATTTAATGTTCCTTGGGCGGCCCGGTACCATTTGATCCACGGACCGGTACCGGTCCGCGGCCCGAAGGTTGGGGACCACTTATCTAACCTACAGTCTAGATCTATTACCATTTGATTAGAACAGGAGTTATGCAATCAGCTGCAAGCATCAGACAAAAGCTCCAGCTCTGGATGTTTCATGAAACACAAGAACACAATTTGACATCTCAGCATTGCCAGAATTGAAAGACAGATTTCTGATGTATGTATGAAGAGTACCTTGCTAGTAGGAAGTAGAAGTTTATAACTATACTAGATGAAGATTGGATCAACCTGTCAAATTGCAGCTAGATTTGGAGAGGAAACACACACCTTATTAAACACTAACACAATTTAATAGCCAAGATTGTTTTCAATCCAGTTTGATGGATCTGCTTTAGTTGCTTACAATGTATTCAAATGAAAAGAATGACCACATTTGAATACAAGGGCAATTCAAAATTTAAACACAAACATAAGCAAACTTATAACAGTTACTTGTTCAGTTATAAAATTTCAGAATCATAAAGGATGAAATAAAAGTAAAATACAAAAACTATATATTACAATAAAACCCTGCTTAATGCTGCCTTGTTTAACGCTGATTCAACATAACACAGTCTGCTTGATGCCTAAAAAATGCTCAAAATTTACACTGATTCAAATTAACTCAGTATTTCATTGATTCATATATAATATACAACCAAAGCATGTAAGTTTTTAGTATAAAATTTAAGATTAAATTTTTAAATCTTAAATTATATAAATATTTTAAAGTAGTTAATAAAATCTTATTATGAAATAACATATTAAATATTTCATTAGGTATTCTGGTCTGAAAGTGGAGAATTGTTATGTATTGCAACAGATGAATGTTTTTATATTCTAAAATATAATCCTGAAGCTGTAACCAAAGCTCAAGAAACTAAAGAAGGAATGACAGAAGATGGTATTGAAGAATCATTTGATGTAAGAAACTATTTTATGAAGAAATTTAGAAAATTTCTATATTTGAGAAATTTCAATTAATGTTGATTTTCAGGTACTAGGTGAAGTTCAAGAATGTGTGAAAACAGGATTCTGGATTGGAGACTGTTTCATTTATACAAATAGTGTAAACAGATTAAATTATTATGTAGGAGGTGAAATTGTCACGGTTGCTCATCTTGATAGGTAACAAAATTCATATGTATTTATATAATGAAGAATTTCTAAGTGAAAATAATATATAATAATAACATAACTTTTCATATAACTTTTTGTATTAATAGGACTATGTATTTATTGGGATATATTCCAAAAGATAATAGACTTTATCTTGGTGATAAAGAATTAAATGTTGTTTCCTATTCCCTACTGTTGTCAGTCTTAGAATATCAAACAGCTGTAATGAGAGCAGATTTTGAAACAGCAGACAAAGTTTTACCAACAATTCCGAAAGAACAACGTACAAGAGTTGCACACTTTTTAGAGAAACAAGTAAGTACATAATTTATATTTATTTATTTGTAGTTTTATTAATTTTTTTTTGTATAGAAATATTTATATATTAAAGTTGGAAAAACTTTTTAAGACATTTCATAATTTATCAGTAATTTGGAAAAAAATATATTTTTGTTCAGTTTTTGCTAATAAAGGTAAATGTACACAGGTTTCCAAAAA